GGAACATTCCTAGGGCTACAAATTGGAGTGGAGGGGATAGGGGGAGGGGGAGGGAGGTTGGGGGATAATTGGGAGAGGACAAAGGGTACAAAAGTAATTCTGGTAATGGATATGCCCCCAGTATGAATCTGACCCTCATATCATGGGCAGGAGGGGGAACAATCAGCTCTTTATCTCATGAATATTTGTACTAAGTAAATAAATAAATAGAATAACAATTTTCACTAGTGCAGTGTTGTAAAAGAAGCTAATGCATTTGAAAGGCATGTATTTTTTTCTTTTTTGAAAAGAAACTCACCACAAGTTTTCCTATCACCACGATCAACACAAAGACAATAACACACAATGACGGGTCAGCTTCTTGCATACATTCCCACATGTTTTCGATCCACTCCCCACAGAGGATGCGGAATACCACCAGGAAGGAGTGGTAGAAATCCTCCATGTGCCAGCGCCGTAAACATGAGACTGTAGGATCACAAGATTTTTCACTCTTTTGGGAACTGAATTTAGAGCCAAAAAGCTGCATACCAACTACTGAGAAAATAAATATCACAATAGCCAGGACCACAGTCAGGTTTCCAAGGGCTCCAACAGAATGGCCGATTATCTTAATTAGTGTGTTTAAAGTTGGCCAGGATTTGGCTAACTTGAAAATCCTCAGCTGTAAAAACAGACAACAAACAAAAATGGAAGAAAAGCCAGTGAAGGAAAAACTTCATCTGCTCATCTGTAAACCTTGGAGGTTTCCCAGTTTCTCTCTCAGATGTGATTTCTCTGTAATTTTCTATCTATACCTCCCCTGGGCTCTGTCACACTCTATTGTGTATCATGGTCATTTCTGGCCCAGTCTTGTACCACCCCTGGACTGCAAACTCCTTGAAGACAGTGATTTTCTCATCTTTGTGCCTTCCCTCTTGTCAGTTCATGTTAGGTACTCTGCAGAGGTTACCAGAATGCCTCCAAACTGGTGGATAGAGGGCAAAGACTACAGAACAGGAATCTGACTCCTGCAGCAGTGAGAAGGGACCTTGTGAGACAGCACCTGCTGGAAGCTCTCATCCCTTTCCTGGGCTCTGTAGTCTTATCCTCACCTCACTTGGTGAGCCCAGATGTGAGGGTGCCTGCCTCAGAGCTCCATGGAAGAAGAGAGCATTGGAGGGGTGATACATAAAGCTAGGAGAATAGTCCTGACACTTGGAGACACAATTTTGGTCATCTTGGTGATTGGGGGAGGTGGGATAGAGGTGTAGCTGACAGAAGACTCCCTGGGACTCCCAAGGCTATTGAAGACCAAGGCACAAGGAGGAGGGGTGCAATTTTGGTTCTGGGTTCATAGTCAAATAAATTAAAGTTTAGTCCAAGACAGCCACTGAACTCACTCAAGACTCTTTTCAATTTGGGCGGCTAAGTTATTCAGTAAAATATGAAAGTGCCTTACCACTCTGAAGGAACGCAAGAATGGCAAACTTTGCTTTACAAATTTACTGCTCATCACATCTGCAAAACTCAGAAGAGCAACGATGCTGTCGAAAATGTTCCAGCCTCGGCGAAAGTAGTGGTAGGGATCGAGAGCAATGATTTTTAAGCACATTTCTGCTATAAAAATGCCAGTGAAAACCTACAGCAGGACAAAGAAGAATGAGAAAAGGAGGCTATCTCTCCTTGGACACACCCTTTTAGGAATGGTCTAAGAGAATTACAGAGTTTACAAGGAAATAAAAAGTATTCTCATATTCTCACAGTTGACACGATATACCCTAAAGTCCGTGCAATAGAAACATTTGCTGCTGTAGCATGAACCTCACCATGCCTTTGCCCCTCTCTCCATTCCTCTCCATGGTGCCCAGCTCAATGATACCAAGCTCACAGGCATCAGGACGGAAAATGAATATTATTTCCCATTCTGTTGAAAATAAAGCAGAACTGGCTTTCTTGGTATATGGCAGGGTGACAGGAAGTGTAGACAATTTTTCCTCTAAATTCTCTTTAAAATACCAATAAAAACTCCAAAATGGGGAGAGAGGATGCACAACTGCTCTGAAAACTAAGGATAAATATCTCCCATAGTTCATAATCCAGGAGGAGTTTACCCAACCACTCAATCTCAACACCTTGACTGACAAAAAGGGGGGAGGCAGGGCAAATAGAGAATTAGAAAACACTGCCAGGGTCAGAAAGATGTCTTTGAGCAACTCAATATACGGGATAAACCCTAGATTGGTTATAGTTGAAAGGAGGATTAGTGAATCCGAATATAATCCAAAAAAGCACTGAGAATGCAGGGCTCATTATTCCAGAACAAAATATCAAAGAATAAAAAGGAGGGACAAGAGTTACAAAAAGTGTTAAATTGTGTGTTTTCCATGGACAAAAATAGTATTCTCTTCGTCTTTGATAATTAGATAAACACAGGCCTACGAAATTTGTAAAATAAGTAATTTGTAAAATAAGTAGTAAGTACTAGCCAAATTAAAAACTAAATCCTCTTCCATACCTTTGGGGAAAATAAAGCAAATCATTTCTTCACAGCAAATAGCACATTCGCCCTCTGTGTGTGTGTGTGTGTGTCTTTCACACACACACACACACACACACACACACAAATAAATATAAATAAAAAAACCAAGAGTGTGAAAATAATAAAGTTAGTGTCTTTCACACACACACACACAAATAAATATAAATAAAAAAACCAAGAGTGTGAAAATAATAAAGTTATATTAAAAGGTTTAAAACCTTAAAAAATGTTGTCAGTTATAAAACTCTCCTCTGCTGTTCTGGGAGAGAAAACCATACATAATAAAATCCCCCTATTAAAAGTAACACATTATCTATTTTTATAAATAATTCAATAGTTTACTATTTATGAAAAACATGCCTAAAATGAAATGGCACAAATTAAAAATAAAAGGACAGTCAAAGACAAACCCAAGATAGACAAATAAAAAGAAATCAAAGGTGGCAAAGGGAATCCAAGCTTATCACCATATTTCCCCTCTAAATGCTGCTGTCTGCCCCTGCTCAAATGCCACAACCAGTACCTAAAAGCAGACAGTGGTGCCTGTCCTCAATAATTGTGGACTGATCCCCACGCCTTTTGCCTCACTCTTCCTCCTCTTGTCTCCTTTAGGCTTTGGCTCTACAGCATTCCTAGACACCTTGGGTCTACCGGTTTTGCCAATTCAACAGTGTATCCCCCTGACTCAAGCAGTCCCTGAGCCTGGACAGTCTATTTCCTAGTCCAGTACCACAGAACCACACAGACCAGCTTAATTCTGGTCAATCCATCAGAGGTGGGAGGTTTGGATGTGTTCCACCAGTACCACCCCCAGGGGGGCAACAGATGAGGGGCTTCCACATTTGTATTGCACGTCTAGGGAGGGGGGCACATGGAATGTAAGCACAAGCTAATTGGACAGTTCTACATGTTTCCTATCAAGTTGTAGGACCTGGAGTGCAGCTGTTGCCTGCATACTTGGAAAATAACAATGTCCCTGTGGCTCCTTCTGCTTCTGGAGAGAGTGAAGAATGTCACTTAATCAGTCAGCTCCAACTGTAGGATGCAGTGTTAACTCAACACTCAGGGAACCTAGTCTGGGAAATCTGAGATGGGTACTTTTCTCTTTTCCTACATTTGGACAAGCAGATGAGTTGATGGACAGACCACCTTTGCGATTGGGAAGCCCTGTCCAGGGAGATAACTCTGCGTTCTTTGGGAATTCTCTGGAACTTATCTCCATTCCACCAGGAGGTGCTAAAAGACGGGGGTTGCTGATAATTGAGGCATGAACCATATGCCTGCAGATGTACATTCTGCCTCCAACCGAAACAATCCTGTCAGCCCACTTCTGGGATATCTTAGCAGGGGATAGTTGAACACATTGGCCCAGAACCCAGAAGATCCTGACCTGTTAGGAGGTACTGACTATGTATTAGGTTTATCACATAGCATAGAATCTAGTCTAACCTATTCACACCCACAAGGCATTTATTCCCAAAGGTAGAATGGGGAAAGGAACCTAAATGCAGACTGCCTGGGAAGAGAACCACCACAGCCTTACACTAGAGTCCCACTGTATCTTGCTCCTCATGGGAGGGATGTGGAACTGAGGGTAACAGGTACCTGTCTCTAGTTCCACACCATCCTAAACATGATGCATAAAAGCAGCTTTGTGAACCAACTCATGATTCAATAGGTGCAGTGGGTTCTAATCAATGTGAAAAAATGTTTAAAAAAACATGCAAAAATAAAGCACAAACAAGAAAGATATACAAAAAAGAAAAATGACAAAGAAACGAACAAAAATACATGCATACACATATATGTACATATTGCCTTGAAATATTCTGCAATGCTAAAAATGATCATATTTGCTGGTTGGACCATGGGAAGTGAGTTTTTTCTTCTTTCCCTTACATTTTTCCTTATTTTTAAAATTATAAAAGCATGTATTGCTTTTTAAATTAGGAAAATAAAATAGAAAATTAAGAAAAAAGGCTAGATATTATGGTAAGATTTTTAGCCCATTAACCCATTAGTTAATTAAGGAAGAACATCCAGTTGGTAATTATTTGTTCTTTCTGATATTCAGGGACTAATTTTCCCTTGATAAAAATGCCTTCAATAGGAATCGTGAATTAAAGTGAACAGTCCTTGAACACTCTGCTCCCCATCTCAGTTTTCCCAATTTAACTGAAACTAGGTCCACCCAATGAGAAACATATTGAAGGAGGCTCAAGTCCAGAAGCCCCTCCCCCACCCTGAACCCTTCACACACCCCCTCCTAGGAAAGTGAACTTCCCACAGCTGCCAGGCCCTGGCTCACCTTTCCAGGGAGAATCACACTTAGCAATGACAGTCACATTTTATGACAAATAATGTCATCGGTATCACTGGGGACCATGGTAGTCATTGCCATGGGTCTCTGGAAAAGGCTATCATTTTCTTGATTATCCCAAATAGTTAACCTTTTAAGAAGTCTACTTCTTTCTGGCTTACCATTGGATGACTAAAGAGACATCTTAACATTTTAGAGGGCCAACACAGGGCCCTGGAAAACTGGTGACATGAACTGGGTAATAATAAAATCATAACAGTCATCTTTTCCCTCTACCCCACTCAAGGAGTCCAAGGACCTAAGTTAGGTTAGGCTACTCACACAATGTTTAAACTTTGAAAAAGTTATAATTCAAAGTCTGAAATATGTTTTATATTTTTAAAAAACCTAAAGTTACCAAATTCCCTGTATTCAACATAGTCTTAAAACCCTCCTCCATATTGTGATGCTCCATGGCCAAGAAGACAGTGTTGATTATGATGCAGATGGTGGTGGCCAGCTCAGTGAAGGGGTCAGTCATCACGGTTCTCAGGGTCTTCTTAATGCACAGCCACTGGGGGCAACAGTCCCACACAAGGTATTTGGATGCCAGGTTTTCCCCGCATGGGAGACAAGGCTCCTGTAATTTTTCTTGTTCTGGAGAAGGAGAATGAAAGAGCAGTTGAGGATTTAGCTCTGGACCAGTCTGGCTGCTCTTTGCCTGAGCACATTCCTCCCTCCCTCTTCCCCAGGGTCTCTTGTGATAAAGGATCAGTCAAAAAGGACACTGACTTGTATAGCTGGAAAGGTTTTTCTGCCAATCACAGTGCAGAAGAGACAGTTTTGACATACAACTAGCATGTGGTACAGACAAGTACATCAAGTCTTTACACTTTTATGGAGCACCCAGGAGCTGAGCTGCACTGTTAGAGATCCACATGCGGAAGTCAACACTGACTTGCTGTGAACCCATGAGAGAGAGAGAGAAAGAGAGAGAGAGAGAGATAGAGGCCCAAGCTATGCCATCTCAAGACAGACCATGGTAACAGCGTAACAGAGGCTACCAAAGATGAGGGACAGGAGAGATGGTTGGACAGGAGAGATGGTCAGACAGGGGCATCTGTAGGCACTGACACAATGAAAGGCACTCTATCAGCTGGTTAGTTCAGGCCATAAAACAGCTGAACGCTTAATTTTTCTGGAACCATTTCAGGGACTCATGCAGGCCAAATGAGGTGATTCAATAGGCTCAAAAGTGCTGAGAGACCCCTCTGACCCCACCCTTGTAGGGACTTGATCCTACCCATAAACACCAACCCCTTAGTTGGGACCCTGTCACCTGTGTTAATCTGGTCCATCAGATGGTTCTAGACCGTCTCTACAGGTCTTCTATTGCCCAGGCCAGGTTTCTAACTCTGCTACCTCTTGGAAACTTCCAAGTCTTCTCTTCTTTGGCTGACTGTCATTGTCACTCAGCCCTCCTGTGATTGTCTGGCCTCATTGTGAGACCCTGTTTGTGCTCTTCGTTCTAGACTGTCTCTACAGGTCTTCTATTGCCCAGGCCAGGTTTCTAACTCTGCTACCTCTTGGAAACTTCCAAGTCTTCTCTTCTTTGGCTGACTATCATTGTCACTCAGCCCTCCTGTGATTGTCTGGCCTCATTGTGAGACCCTGTTTGTGCTCTTGGTCTAAAGTCCCATCCCAAGTCTAGCCAGTTCCCACCAATACTCAAGTGCCAACTCAGAGTGGCCCACAGGGAAGGCTCATTTCTTTCAAGCCACTTTTCCTACATGCTCCACGGTTCCAAAAGAGCCTCCTTAGCAGAGGGCTTCTGGGGGACTGGGGAGAATGGAAGGACATTATTGAAGTTAGGTTCTCCCTTGGACTGGGAGGAAGAACTTACCCTGCATAGTGATGGTGAGGATGCTGACAGCACTCAGCGCCCTCTGCCTTTGGAAGGGGTCTCCATGCTCATCAAAGTGGTCCAGTGACAGATTCTGGGACAGTCGTTTGGTTTGCTTTAGGAGGTGTGGCTGTAAGAGAAGGCATGGTGGACCCTCTAAAGGCAGGGGTTGCCTCTCCTCAAAACTTCACGAACTACTTTGTTTCAATTCCACATGTAATGAAGGTGCATTTTCGACAGGTCGACTCACTGCATCTCCACAGCATGCCAGATGTTCAGTTTTCTTATTTCAGATTTGATAGATAAGAGCAATATTGTTTGGCCATTCATATTTTTTATGTGTGCACATTTCTAGAGTTGTACTGACAGAAATTTTACTTTCTCTGTGCTTTATTCATTGTCAACACAGAGCAAATCAAGTTTTCAAAAATGAGTGAGCAATTGTTCAGGGTATGAAAGCAATAAAAAGTCTTATTTGGAAACAATGTTTGCAAGGGGCAGAAGTGGGGGATAAATTTAGGAAGATGGATTGGGGCCAAATAGTGAAGTGCCATGCACGTCTGTCTAAATAGATCTTAAAAGACAGTAACTAAAAAGAACAATCAAACTAAATATCACAGAATCTATATACTAAACCTCTCAGGCTGTGCCTAAGGGCTTGTTGACTTTAACCTTACCTATAATTCTAAAGACTGGAGATTAAAGGACACAAACCTTCAGAGATCCAGAAAACTTGGGTCTCCATAGTGGCTTATTTCCCAAAGGTTCTGACAACCAGGGCCCCAGAGGGAACTACTCTTTTGTGATAAGCTAATCTGTGTAGTCTTTCTATGGCTATTCCCTATTCTAGTTTAAGGGAATAGACATTTTATCTTAGATGTCTGGGTCTTTGTTGTTTTGTGAAATGAGCAAAAACTTTTAAAATTTGATAAAAATATCTGCAGTCTCTCCATAAGGCTGTGGTCTGACAACAGAGAAGTCNTAAATATCACAGAATCTATATACTAAACCTCTCAGGCTGTGCCTAAGGGCTTGTTGACTTTCACCTTACCTATAATTCTAAAGACTGGAGATTAAAGGACACAAACCTTCAGAGATCCAGAAAACTTGGGTCTCCATAGTGGCTTATTTCCCAAAGGTTCTGACAACCAGGGCCCCAGAGGGAACTACTCTTTTGTGATAAGCTAATCTGTGTAGTCTTTCTATGGCTATTCCCTATTCTAGTTTAAGGGAATAGACATTTTATCTTAGATGTCTGGGTCTTTGTTGTTTTGTGAAATGAGCAAAAACTTTTAAAATTTGATAAAAATATCTGCAGTCTCTCCATAAGGCTGTGGTCTGACAACAGAGAAGTCTCTAAACCATGAGATCTGTTTTCAGCAGAGAACTGATCACAGCAGTGGATGGGATCCCTCTATCTACTTCTGCAAAGGCCCCTGGACTTTCTTCCCTACTCCACTATCAGGCATGCACACCTACCTTCTACCCACTTCATCTCCCTCTATCTATCTCAGGAAAGTGGCTTTTGCCATCCTTCCCTGGCCTGTATCCTCAACATTTTCCTCTCTTCTAATTTTTCTCTTCACAACTAAAACATGTCTGAAATCCCCCACTCTGATGATAAGGATGACTTTTTCTACTGCACATCCCTCCGTGGCTTCATTTCTGCATATCACTCTGCCTACTCAGTACGCCTTCTTAGATGTCCATAAGCACCACAACATTGGCATGTGCAGAACTGAATTTGCCATTTTTCTCATGCCAAAGCATGTTCCTTTCCTGTCTCAGTAAATTACCCTCCATTGAGTCAGCTCCCCAAGCCATAAACTGGGCATCATCCCCACCTTCTACATCAATTCAATTGCCACATTTTATCTTCTGTACATCACTGTAGCCTGTGAAACTCTCTTCATTCTCATTGTCCTGGTTTAACCCTAGTTGAAGCCACTGCCACGAATTATTTGGGTTACTGCAACAACCTCTTCATCAGTTGCCTCCAGTCTTGCCCTTGTCCAATGTGCTCTCTTCAAAGCACCCAGGACTTAAAAAATGTAAATCTGGTCATATCGTTCTCTTGCTTTATACTTTTAAGTGGTGCTTACCCCTTGCCCTCAGTGTAAAGTGTGAACTCTTTAGCTTGGTTTTCAAGGCCTTTTGCGACCGCTCCCATCTTACCACTGCAGCCTCTTGCCACCCACCCTCCCCCAACCTCTACACACACACACACACACACACACACGTGTGTGCACGCAGTGGTGCACACATGCACGCACATGTGCACACACACAAGTTTCTAATGGGTCAGGTTTTCCTGCTTGCCTCCACTTGTGTGTGCACGCAGTGGTGCACACACGCACGCACATGTGCACACACACAAGTTTCTAATGGGTCAGGTTTTCCTGCTTGCCTCCACTTCCAGGCCTCTGAACGCGCTGTTCTCTCTCTGGTAATACCCTATTCTTCCCTCTGCCTCATGAATTCTTCCTTTCAGCTTAGACACTGCTTCTTCTGGAAACCCTTCTCTGATTCACTGCTCTTCAACCCACCAAGTCTGGGTTGGTCGTCTGAAGCAGTTGATGTTGATTGTCCCATTCATATGTCCTTGGGCCTTACTTGAGGGCTTTCTCTGGTGACACAAACCCCCTCTGCCCTAGTACACAGCAAATACAGATACAGGAGAGTTACTATGCCTGGGCCCCAGCAATCTTTAAGCAGTGATGGACCAAAGTTGATGTACACGTACTTCAACACCCTCACTCCAGAGGGAATACACTCTAACTGCCTTCAGTGGCAACTGGCTTGGTGATGCACCCTCCCTGGCCACCTTACCATCCATGTATCAATTCTCCCTCCCCTCTCAGTGCTTCTTGAGACCACTTTCCAAATAACCCACTTGCATTCTAGTGTCTCTGGGTTTGCTTCAGAGAGGACCACACTGACACCTTGCCCCCTCTGTTCTCCCACAGTGATCACTATATCAGTCATTATGTTGAACAGTAACTGCCTCTTCATTAGTGTGTCATCATCATCAGATGGAAATTATGTGCAGTAGGAACCATGTATCCCCAGTACCTACCCCAGTGCCAAGCAGAGACCAAACACTATAAATACTTCAAATAAATGTTTATAAATCCCAAATGGATAATTGAATAGATATATGGATGCATGAAAGTGCATGCAAAGGGATGAATGAATAAATGAGTAAGTGAAAGAACAAATCCTTTCAATTAAATTGGCAACGGAACTGGTATCCCTGGACAACACTGTGGTATTATTAATCCCTTGGACGAGACTTACCATTTTGTGGGAGTCTTCATCAGAATCTGATCCTGGCGTCTGGTCTTTCCCAGACTCTCTCAAAAAGAAGGACTTCCTTTTCTTATTACCAAAGAACTTTCTTTTCTTTGGGGAAAAAGATGATGCTTCAAGGGAATTAAGTGAACTTCTGTCAATTCCCATGGCAACCAGAGCCTTAGAAAGTGAACAAAAGCAATTATCAAACTGATTATACCTCCCCATAAAACACTGCAAGTGACCCCACCTTAGTGAGCCTACTCTCTTCTGGTAGCATTGTACTATTTAGATTGCTCATCACCTAATTGGAATATGCTAGCTCTGTTATTAGTTATCTAGGAGAACATGTCCTGCTTTTGCAAGGATATTGCAGTTGTCAAAGGCAGGGTTGACCCTATATTACTTACCCTTAGCACGATGTCCAATATGTGATGAGCACTTAATAAATGTTTATGCCTGATGATCCAGATATTAGACATTTATAAGGGGCTTACCTCTGACAAATCTCTGTAGAGGATGAGAAAGAGTATAAAACATGGTTCCTGCCCTGAAAATCTTAGAATTGAAGTAGAAGAATGTCAGGATCCCATGGAAACAATTAGAATGGCCTATAAATATGACAGGGATTTCAGGCAGGGAGAGTTGATCATGGCTGTTGCTCTAGAGCTCCTCCTCAAGTGAAGACCCCAAACACAAACATCTCCAGATTTTCACAAGTGCCTAGATTTATGTATACATAAATTGTATTCTCTAGCCAATAATTTGGGATAAGTCCTAGAAGACCCAGGCTTCAGAAGGTCAAAGAGCATCAAGACCAAGGGTAAGAGCCCTGTGCCTGGATGACTTTGTGAGAGACAGCAGCACAGGCAGACTGCAAGGGGCTTAAATTCTCAGACAATACCAGTAGAGAAAGCACTGAGACCAGGCTCCAGGCAGCAAGCAGCCTTGAGCCTCAGGCACATTGCCTCTGGGCTCCCAACCTAACTTAACAGTTATAAGAATTTTGGGGCTGGCTGGTTAGCTCAGTTGCCTAGAGTGCAGCCATATAACCCCAAGTTCATGGGTTCAGATCCCACTGTCTGACCCCAACATATCCCTACCTCCTTTTCCTCCTTTAACAGCTGCTGGGCTTCCTGAAACATCTTTTCTTTGGCCTCTGTCTCTGCGGCTACATTCCTGTTCTGCTCCTCATAAGCCATGGTGACGACAGCCAGGGTTAAGTTAAGCAGGTAGATAGAGCCCAGGAAGATGACCACCACGAAGAAGAAGACTGAGTAGAGCCCAGAGGTACGTAGGGTCTGCAAGGAACAGAGCACATGCTTGTACCTGAAGCCTTCTTCCACAGACGGGTGACCATCAATCACCTCAAGCAAAAATTACTCAGTAGCAGACAATTGGTCTTCCCCCTGAACTGGCTGGGTAAGCTAACTACAGCATCCTCCACAGCCTCCCCAGCCGCCCGGGGACTCCTGGTGCCCTCTCTCTCAGCTGGGAGATGCCATCCATACATTCACAGAAATTTCAGTGACTTTCCTATCTATAACTTTCTCAAAGATTTTGCATTTTTAAAATAAAAAAGGCAAGAGAGATAGTGCTAGTGGTGGAACTTCAAGCGGTAGGGAATCAGAAGAGAGATAATATTTCTAGGAAGAGGACTTTTCTTGTTTGGGGTGGTTTTTTTTTTTCTTTTTTCTTTTTTTTTTGCACTCTTCTTCCAAATATCACATTTATAATTTTCTTGAATTTTCCCACAGAACTACTAAAGTGGAATTTAACAATTGGTAAAGATGAGAGATAGATGACAAAAGTGGAGGACAGATGGTAGGGTACAAATAAGGGAAGATAAATAGATAAATGATAAACAGAGGAAGAAGGAAGGGAGGGAGAGAGAGGGAGGAAGAAGAGAGAGACTATAAATAGACAACCTGTTGATACAGCTTCTCCCAGGAATCTTGGGTCATAAGCCGGAACATGGCAAGAAAAGACCAGCCAAAGTTGTCAAAATTCGTGTAATTATAGTCAGGATTAATTTTGGTGTGGATGCATTTAAATTGGTCAGAGCAGGCACTAGATATTGGAAACAAGGGAACAGAGAAAGAATTACATTCCCCGCAACCCAGCTTCACCCCAACCCCATGACACTGGTTCTTCAGAGGGCACCAGAAAGCCCTGGAGGAAGGGAGTATTTGTAGAGTGGCCATCCCCCTGTCTGCCAAGCCTACCAGCCCACACCTTAACGTAAGTGCTCATTGAGTCTTTCTCCAATGGATTGATTAATAAATTCATATTAGAACATTTTTCATTGAAAAATTAAATGCAATGTCATAGCTAACAATTAACAGTAAAAAAGCATATACAATGAACATTGAGCTTCTCTCTCTCCCCAGTTTCTAGGTCTCGTTTCCTAGAGGCAACAGTGAATAGTTACTTTTATAACTTTCCAGAAGTTTTCTGTGAATATAGACATATATATATCTATACATATCTTTTATAATATACATATGTATGACAGTAAGCCTTAAACACTCTCCTGCACCTTGCTTTTTTCATGGAACAATATAGCTTGGAGGACTTTCCATGATGGCATACCAGGATATCTCATTTCTTTTCATATCTTACAGTTATATGAATTATTTAACTACTCTGCTAATGATGACTCTTTAGGTTTTCAGTGGTTAACAGTCTTTTGCTCTTACAAACATTTGGATAATACATGTCTTTGAACATAAGTCTTTGCCCACATTAGCAAAGCTCACATTATTGAGTGCATCTATAGGATATACTAAGAGTATGTACTTTCTTCGTTTTTAATAAATATACTATTTTTGTCAAAGTAATGCACACATATGGTTTTAAAATTAGATGCACCAAAAAGCTTGTAATGAAATCTATTGTATTTACTCTTCAACTGTCATTTGTATACCCCAAATTCAATAACTTTTAACTCTTTTATGTCTATATCTCTAAATATAGTGCTTACAATGATATTTGATTTATCAGTTTCAGTCCTCATTGATTTGGCTTCACACTATAGTAGATGAGGGTTCACACCTCTTCATTAATACTTGTACCCCTCTTTGTAGAAAATAATGGTGACCTGTGTCAGTGGTTCTGCTGGGTTGAATACATTTTTTTCTTGGCTTTTACGTATATCCCCTTCCTAGTTTTATTTCCTTGTTGTTTTTTTGGAACACATCTCAAGTAGCTTCTTAGAAGACTGAGTGATCCTAGCATATATGAATATGTCTTTATTCCACCTCACCAATAGTTTGGCTGGAAATAGACTTCTGGGTTGAAAATAACTTTTCTTTATAAATACAAAGGCACTGCTCAGCTATTATTCTGTGTTGCTATTGAAAATTTTGATGCCATTTTGATTTTTGCTCCTTTGTGGGTGACATTCTTTTTCCCTTTGGGTTTTAAGATCTTTATCCCCAAAGGTCCTGAAATGCCATAATAATGCACTTGGCATGGTCCTTTTTTATTCATTGTGTTGGAAACTTTATGGGACACTGAGTGACTTGCATCCTTAGTCCCAGGGAAATTCTTTGCATCTTTTCTTTGCTAATTTCCTCCCTTTTGTTTTTTCTGTTCTATTTCTGGAATCCCTCCTTAGCCAAAAATTGGGCTTTTGGCCAGAACCATCATCTTCCAGTAATTCACCAAAATGATGAATAGAAAAGGAAAGAGGAGAGGCACCCAACATACGTTCCTCTGGTACTTTTAGAAAACACAGAGTTGCTCCTCTGGCCACATACATGTGAATCTACAAGGAAGGTGATACTGCAGACACCAAAGGAATGGGTACTATTCAAAAAGGAATGCCCCACAGATGTTACCATGGCCAAACTGTAAGAGTCTACTGTGTTACCCAACATGCAGTTGGCACTATCGCCAACAAACAAATTAAGGGCAAGATTCAGGCCAAGAGAATTAATGTGCGCATTGGGCATTTTAAGCACTCTAAGAGCCGAGATAGCTTCCTGACACATGTGAAGGAAAATGATCAGAAAATGAAGGAAGCCAAAGAAAAAGGAACCTGAGTTCAACTGAAGCACTACCCTGCTCCCCCCAGAGAAGCACACTTGTGAGAACCAATGGCTGGGAGCCTGAGCTCCTGGAACCTATTCCCTACAAATTCATGGCAAAATAGGTGTTTCTCTTGAGTAGAAGTGTAGAGTCCCCTACTCCAAAGAAATGTTGAAAGTAAATATTGTGTCCTAAAAAACCAAACAGAAAACAAAAATACAAAAAAACCCCAAAAAAACCAGAAGTTGGAACTTCTAGATTAATATTTATTCTCATATTTTCTGTCTCTGTCTTTGGTTTCTACTTTCTGGGCTATTTCCTCAACTTTATCTTTTAATTCTATTATTAAATTCAAAACTTTTAACATTTACTTGTACATATTTGTGGGTTACGGTGTGTTGTTTCAATACATGCACGTACTGTACAATGACTCACTTAGAGTAGATAACATAGTTTTGAACCTGTTAGTCCACTACTTTGTTATTGATTCTTTATAATCATGTTTAATTTCTATTAGATCTTTCTTGTTTTCCGACTATTCCTTTTTTCATAACAGGCTATTTTTGTTTTTATGCATGCACTATCACTTTTAATTTCACCAAGGACCCTATTTAAAGTTTTTAAAGCCCTTTCTGTTCTCCAAATTCTTGTTTTTTCCATGGCCACTTTTCCTGTTTCTTTATCTTGGTCTCCTTTCCATCAAAGGCTTTCTTCAGATGCCTGGGGAGCCTGGGCTGTTTGGTCACATTATTCTGAGGTCCTGGCAAGCTCACTGGGAGTTTGCCTGCTGGGTAGAGTGGGACTATGTGAGTAGTAGGCTTTGCTTTAGGGTGGCTGAGGAAGAGGGCCTTCATTGTGCCTTCTTACGTACCGGACTTTGAAGAAATTCTGTGAAGTCCCAGTGCCCTCTAATGTCCAGGAGCCTATTGAGGATGAACCCACCATACTTGATCTCCCTTGTTTCCTGGACACTATTCAAATCATAAGCCTGTTTTTTCAATCTCCTCCTATCTGGATGCGCCTTCCCATCAGCTCATACAGGTGATTGGGCCTCTCTTCCAGGATTCCCATCTCAGGAAATGGAATCAATGGGCACACCAGAAATGAGAAACATCTATAGGTTTTCTCCCCATTGCACCTCCACTCCTCTCTTACACGTGCATTTATACACACATACACGCGTCGACACCGCTCTTCAATCTAAAGTCTTGTTCTTTCTATCTTCTAAATGTCTTTGGAGTTCATCCATCCATTTCTCTTCACCTCCACTGTATAGCTTCAAGGTTCTTACCTATACTAACAATCTCATTAGTGGCTTCTCATTTACTCTATCTGGCCATTCTCTGCACAGCAGCCACAGTGACTTTAAAAAAATCTAATCTGCCCAGGTTATTCCCCTGCATTTTCCATGTCTCCTCTTTCCTTTGTGATCAGGATGAAAATTCTTGGTACTGATGGGCTACCAGGTCCTGCACGGTTGGCTCCTATCTTGCCCTCCTGCCTCTTCTCTGGTCTCTCTGCCCGACAAGCCAGTGGGCTTCTGCTATCTTTGATGTGTTCTCATGCCCCAAGGCCTTCACTCTTGCTGTTCCTACTGTCTGGATTATTTGCTGTATCTCCTTAACCACTGGCACCTCCTGCTCATCCTTCAGGTCTGAAGGGTAGTCATCAGGGTAGGAAGCAGGGAGCAAAGGCTGAAGATGAAACCTGGGCCCTGGACAGAAAGAAGCCTGGCTGGGCCAATGGCCTAGGGCTTGCCTTCTCAGGATGCTACCTCCTGAGAAACTACCAGGTTATGATGAATGTGGAGTTGGTTTACTGTAAAACTCCAGGGCTTTCATATTGTTCATAGACTGAGAGAGGTGTTCCTGGTACATAAACTTACAGAGACAAGAACACTATAAAGACCAGCTGGAGACCAAGGCTGCTGCTTCTGTGTGTCTAGGTGACACAATACACCTCAGATTTTGCCTGTAGTAACCACACCTGCCCTGCATAGGTGAGGGGTCAAAGAAGTGCTGTATGAAGACACCATTAAGATGAAGACACTATGGATGTAGTGTGTCCTGTTGAGGATCATTCTGGAGAGCTCAGTAAACTCATATGACAGTAAAGCCTATTGCGTATTGCAAATGGTGTGAGAGAAGCCTTCTCTAATTCTCCATACACATCCCCGTCACATCTTGCAGCACCTGCACCTCTCCCTTATACCGCTCATCACACTTTCTCATATTTACTCTATGTCTACTTCCCAGGAAGACATCAATTTTAAGAGGGTTGAGCTGTCTTGTTCATAATTGCATTCCTTGGGCCTAACACAGGGCTTGGCACAATGTAGACCCTTGATGTCTACTTGTTTTTGAGGACTGAATGTAATCTATTTCATCAGAGTGCCTCACATATTATCTTAATCTGAAGTACACTCAGTAAATCTTCACTGGATTGAGTCTCTGACCACAGCGAGCCCTGGTATCCTGGAAGAAGGAAGGGTATCCCCATAGGGCCAGAGGCTCCAGCTGTTGGGTGAGTGTGTACGAGTGCACGTGCCGCTGCGTTTGTGATTCCAGGCAGTGGTGGGACACAGAGCAGCCAAGAGAAGTAGGCTCTGACAGTCTCACATTGGGGCCATGTCACTGAACAGGAAACAAGGGCCTCCTGGGGCTCTCAGCCATCACAAAACCTTTCTCACCAAAAGGTCTGGAGGTGCTCTGTTTGGGAGATAAACGGACAGTATGAACCTCTTACCTGCTACCCAACCAGCTGCCACACATTCTGAATTCAGAGGAATTTCCTTTCTTTTCAAAGCAATAGTCTGAGAGAGGAAACAGTCATAAATTCAGTTTATAAAAACACTGAAAGGAAAGAGAATAGCAAACATATCAGATTATGCTTGGAAACAGATGGTTCGGAATCCTTTAAGGTGATCAAAATGAGTGTCCAGAGAGGAATGGGGCCTAAGCCCTCAGGAAGGACAATGGAAGATGAGGGAAGGAAGAAGGGAAGAGAAACAGGAGAAAGAGGTATGGCATCACCACCATCACTCTGCCTCTCAGTGCACAATGCTGAACTGGAGACCACCCTGGGGCGAGGGGACACAGATGTAGCCCATGACAGACATGGAGGGAGTATGCCACATGAGATCCAGGACACATGAAATAGATGTAGTAGAGGGTGGGCACAGAAAGCAGTGTTGTCATTGGAGAAAATACTTGAGGGGGCTGGGAAGTTGCTGTTTCTTTTTGGCCAAATTCAGGCATTCTGAATACTTCTGCAAAACATGAACAAGAAGTAGGCCAAGATATAAATGTTATAGAAGCAGACACTGCTCTTGTGGATGTGGCTTTGGGCTTTTCTTTCTCTATGGAAACCCAAAGAATGAGTCAATTCACCAAGAAATACATCCTCCTTTGTGAGAACCCTGGGGGGTGGGAGGTGGGTGTGAAGTTCTTCCTTGCTCCCAAAAGACTCTGTGATGCAGGTGTGCAGGTAGTATAGGTGGGGACAAATAAAAGTTAACAACACACACACCAGGGAGTGAAAAGTGTGGTAATTTCCATTACCTGCAAGGTGACTGACATTCTTACAGTCAATCCTGATACATTTCTGGTTCAGATGTCCCATGAAGAGCTGCTGACCTACCAGGGCAAAGATGCTGAGACAGAAGAGGGTCAGAATCATCACGTTGACAAGCTTCTTCATAGAGCGCAGCAGGGCCCCCACAATGACTTTCAGACCTGAGGAGGAGGACAGTTGTGGGGAGAAGCCCCCACCCCCAACCAGACATGGGCAAAGGGCTAAGAGGGATCAACCAAGGTCAAATTGCAGGCTGGAATTGGAAACCAGCTTTGCCCAGCATTCTGATGCCTTGAGTTCTTGTTCCAATTCTGTGCCTTAGAAGTTGTGTGTCATCAAAGCACTCAATCACTCTGGGACTTGACCTCTTCATTCCTGCCCTACACCTGCCCCTGGGAGATTTGAGCAGAAACATGCCACATGGACACGAGGCATATCTTGTCGACAGTTGCGCATGCACATCCAAAGCTGGGTGTCACATACAGCATTAGGGCCAAACAGGGGCCACATTAGAGAATGAGATGGACCTGTATTTAACATTTAGTAGTTTAGTAGTTACTATCATGGTACGTGAGGTGCCATGAGACATAGCTAATTGGGGATGGGAGGGAGGGAGAAGGAGCTTTGTCTAGACCCAAATAATGAGGATGTCCTAGGAGTAAAAACCCAGATTATCAATTACAGTGTGTGTGGGGGGGTTGTTTTCATTCATTCATTCAAGAAATTTCACTAAGCAACTTCTATGTGCATTGCACACTGTTAGGTTTCCAAAGTTACAAAATAAGAAGGGCATTTTGTTCAAAATTGGCTCTTTAAGCAGGGGGTGGGGAAAGCTCTGATTTGTACCATTTATAGGTTTTGTTGTTTGCTGAATTCTTTGGTGTAGGTACAGATTCCTCCTCACTCCCACGGTAGATTTCAAGCTACCGACATGATGTCACTGGACACTGACAAGTCAGCTCCAGTAATCCATTGAGCCATGGTCTTTGCTCTCAAGATACCTGGAGAGANTAGAGAATGAGATGGACCTGTATTTAACATTTAGTAGTTTAGTAGTTACTATCATGGTACGCGAGGTGCCATGAGACATAGCTAATTGGGGATGGGAGGGAAGGAGAAGGAGCTTTCTCTAGACCCAAATAATGAGGATGTCCTAGGAGTAAAAACCCAGATTATCAATTACAGTGTGTGGGGGGGGTTGTTTTCATTCATTCATTCAAGAAATTTTACTAAGCAACTTCTATGTGCATTGCACACTGTTAGGTTTCCAAAGTTACAAAATAAGAAGGGCATTTTGTTCAAAATTGGCTCTTTAAGCAGGGGGTGGGGAAAGCTCTGATTTGTACCATTTATAGGTTTTGTTGTTTGCTGAATTCTTTGGTGTAGATACAGATTCCTCCTCACTCCCACGGTAGATTGCAAGCTACCGACATGATGTCACTGGACACTGAGTTGGAAAAAGGACAAGTCAGCTCCAGTAATCCATTGAGCCATGGTCTTTGCTCTCAAGATACCTGGAGAGATATGCTCCCGGATGTGAATTATAATGTGTGGAATGACTAAGTGACAAAATATCAATTGATCGGTATAGACCAAGGATGGTAGACTTGAAGGTAGGGGAGGTGAGAACACATGGCAGCATTCAGTGGGAGACCAAGCCCTCAGTAGATGAGCTTCCCATAAAGTGTGGTGCCAGATGGGCAGAGCCTTGAAGCCAGGCTGGGACATTCACTACATGTCCAACTGCAGCCAAACCAGAGGTTGCCACAGCCCCATCCAAGCCAGATTTTAATCTGTAACAAGAGGCTTGAGTCTTCCCCAAAGTGAGAAATTTAGGTGAAAGATGGTTGTGATTCCTGAATAATTTGTACATAGTCCCAGAAAAGATTGTACCTCACATCCTTACTTCCAAAAAGCATCCAGGGTCCTTGGTGTGTTTTGGGGCCAACATAAAGACCGTATTCACCAGCTTAGAGATAAAGGAGACACAAACGCTGCTAAATGACTGCCTGAATGTCCATTTTACCCATATGAAGATACGAAGGTCTCAGTTCATGAAGAAAGCTCCAAATCTACCTGGGAAACTGAGGTTCTACTTGCAAGGGAGGAAGAGATGGAGGATGGACAAATTCTACATAAGTGTCCTCTGACTGCCAGTTTCTCTACCACCATGCAGTTGCTTTTCTGGAGTTTCTAAAAATAACCCACTGCCTCTGTTTGAAAGGAACCAAGTTGGCTGGAGTTTAGTTATTGGAGCTTTATGGTATAGTTTAAACCTATACAATCAGCACAACCAACTAGTTCCTGTGGCTTTTCATAGTTTGCCAAAGCCACTGATAGAAGAGAAAGGAAGGAAAGGGAAGAAGGGAAGGGGAAAGGACTCCAGAGAAGGAAGATTTAAATTTTGTTTGTCTTAGTAAAGAAACAAGAGATAAAAGGAAGGAGAGGAGAAGGGTATGCCATAATAACCTCATCTTTTTTAAAGCTGGAATTCATATTCACAACCCAGCCTGACTCACAGGGCCAAAGCACCTTCCTCATCTGGCTTCCAGGGGACCGTCTCTCATTTCCCTCCTACTTCGCTGGGAGCTCCTGCTCACCTCCTTTGCTGGTCTCTCCTCTGCTCCCCTCCCATTCAAAGTTGCAGTGCCCTGGTCTCCATCCTTGGGCTTCTTCTCTTCCCCATCTGTGCTCACTCTCTTAGCGATCTCATCAGATTTCATGGCTTTAAAAACTTTCTATAGGACCATGATTCCCAAGATGGTATCTCCAGCTCAGACTGCTCCCTGGAGTTCCAGACTCATATATCTAACTGCCTACTTGATACTTTCATGCAGATGTCTCACCACCATCTCAAACACAACACGTCCAATGCTAGCTTCTCATCTGACCCCCAAGGCCTGCTTCTCCCACAGCCTTCCCTGTCTCAGACATTGATGACTCCATCTCTCCAATCACTCAGGCTAAAAACCTTGGAGTCCTCCTTGACTCCTCTCTTTTGCTCATACCACATATGCAAGTGACCCATGAGGATATCCTATGGTTTTGACCTTCAGATTTATACAGAATCTGGCCACTGTCCACCAACTTCACTACCACCACCTGATCTGAGAGCACCACCATCCTTTGCTTGAATTATGGTCTCTTGTATCAGTTGGGGTTCTGAGGAGCAGACANGGGCAAGCATGATCTCGGCATGAGCATGAGTGCAGTGGTGAATCCAGAGAGGTGACAGCTGTGACCATTAGTCAGTGATGCTCCCAGCTGCAGGAGATCAGCAAATTTCCATGGTAACCACCAGGGCTCCTACTTGGTCCTCCTGCTTCTACCATTGCTCCCCTACATTCTGTTCTCCACACAACAGCTCCCATTTCTTCAGAGTGAAGCCCAAGTCCTCCCCAGGCCTACAAATCTCCCCTTCACTTCTGGGATCCCACCTCCACCACCTGGCCCCTCACTTCCCCCACTGCAGCCTCATCTGCATCCTTGCTGTTCCTCTGTGTTTGCGCTGCGCTGGTGCTTTCCTATGCTAGAACACTCTTTCCCACAAATCTGCTTGTGTTACTCCTCCACCATCATCAAATTTTTGCTCACCTCCCACCTTCTCAATAACACCTATCCTAACCACTCAACTTAAAATTGCAACCACCTTCCCCTAACCTCTGTGACTTCCTATACACCTCATTTTGTCTACTTTTATTTTATTTTATTTTTATTTATTTTTTTGTCATTTTGTCTTTTTTCGTGTCCGGCAACGGATTGCAACCCTCAGTGTCGTGCCCGTACTGGACCGGGACCGGCAACGGGATCGCAACCCTCGGTGTCGCACCCGCACCCCGCTCAGCCAGTGAGCGGGGACCGGTCTGTATGTGGGATCCGAACCCTCNTGACTCCATCTCTCCAATCACTCAGGCTAAAAACCTTGGAGTCCTCCTTGACTCCTCTCTTCTGCTCATACCACGTATGCAAGTGACCCATAAGGATATCCTATGGTTTTGACCTTCAGATTTATACAGAATCTGGCCACTGTCCACCAACTTCACTACCACCACCTGATCTGAGAGTACCACCATCCTTTGCTTGAATTATGGTCTCTTGTATCAGTTGGGGTTCTGAGGAGCAGACATTCTGGGATCAGATGTGCAAGAGATTTGTTGGGGGAAAATGCCTGTATAAGATGAGGGGGAGGAGAGAGGTGTTGTGGAAAGAGGCTTCAGACTGCAATGCAGGTCTGACATCTAGGAAAGGAAGCAGGACGGGATAGGAAAAGCCTCGGACCACAGTGCAGCTGTAAGAGAGTCTCAGCCAGGTTGATGGGGATCCCCAGAGCCCAAGTTCCACATCCAAGGAGTCCCATATCATTAAGGAATGGGCCAGCACCAGTACCCCTGCCACGCAGGGCAAGCATGATCTCGGCATGAGCATGAGTGCAGTGGTGAATCCAGAGAGGTGACAGCTGGGACCATTAGTCAGTGATGCTCCCAGCTGCAGGAGATCAGCAAATTTCCATGGTAACCACCAGGGCTCCTATCTGGTCCTCCTGCTTCTACCATTGCTCCCCTACATTCTGTTCTCCACACAACAGCTCCCATTTCTTCAGAGTGAAGCCCAAGTCCTCCCCAGTCCCACAAATCTCCCCTTCACTTCTGGGATCCCACCTCCACCACCTGGCCCCTCACTTCCCCCACTGCAGCCTCATCTGCATCCTTGCTGTTCCTCTGTGTTGGCGCTGGTGGTTTCCTATGCTAGAACACTCTTTCCCACAAATCTGCTTGTGTTACTCCTCCACCACCATCAAATTTTTGCTCACCTCCCACCTTCTCAGTAACACCTATCCTAACCACTCAACTTAAAATTGCAACCACCTTCCCCTAACCTCTGTGACTTCCTATACCCCTCATTTTGTCTACTTTTATTTTTTATTCTCCATGATACATAGCACTTTCTACTGTGTTGCATAATTTACTTATAGAGCCAGTATTGAAAGTTAGAGTGACTTACCTGAAACTACTGAAATTGCTTTCAAAGCTCTGAACACTCGGAAGGTACGCAGGGGCGACAGATTGATATTGATATCTGGAAGATATGATACAATCCTACAAGACAAAGCACAGGGAAAGCCTGGGCTTGCTCAGTCCTGCAGCTGTACTTCATATCTCCATGAAGGCCACAGGTAGTCATGGCCTGAGGCCTGTGTCCACCAAGGTTAAATCTGTGGCTTCATTTTCCCAGCTGCACCCTTATCTCAGAATCTGGTAATATCGCTGTCCGTTGCTATGGACCATGGACTGCACAGGAGGCTGTTCTCAGCTAATCTTTATACTGGGACAATGAAGATGAAGATTCCTTGAAATAGTCCCTGTACTTGTGGCTGCATCTATGTATAATAGAAATTCTCCAAACATTTATTGGCTAGCCCCAACACACTTCAATAAGGTCCCCTAGCCACTACATGGCCATACCTGGACATGAACCCAGGAGATCTGGCTCCAGAGCCTGTGTACTTAACCACAGCACTACACCACCTTTCAGTAACAAAGAGCATGCAACTGTTGACCTTCAAATGTAAAAGTATGAAATTAATAGCACCTACCTGTTTGTGAATATTAAACAGGAAATATATGCAAAGTGCTTAACACAAATTAAGTAATGTTAGATTTACTATTGCTGTGCTGGCCCTTGCTGTTCTCACTTTTTATTTTGCTGACTGTGTCTCATCATTCAGATATCAAATCAGTGTCCTCTTCTTCAGGAAGAACTTCAACCCTCACCACACACCAAACACAATAATTAACTCAAAATGGACCATTGACTTAAACATAAAAGCCAAAAATATAAAACTTCTAGAATTAAACAGAAGTGAAACTCTTTGTAATCTTGCAGTAGGCAGATTTCTCTAAGACTCCTTGGTTCCTCCTACATGCTCTGACTACCTGATAGGTTCATGGCCCTATCCTGGTACTCACCATACCATATTGTAATGGTCATTACCCATCTCTTTTCCTCTCTGGACTGTGATCTTCAAGAGGTTAAGAACCATGTCCTTTTTTAAAAAATCATTGTCACAACCCCTGTGTCTTGCACAGAGCCTGGCCCATAATGGGCCCGTGTTGATGAGTGGATGGCTGATGGAAGCAGAGCCTGAGTGTTGGCCTAGAAATGGATTTGGTGTGAAGGCCTCTGGCCAACTGGCTGCACAAAGCAGTTTAGGGCCAACCAACACTGTAATCAGAGCTTGAGGCATTCTTAGGCCTACTATCCTCAGTACTCACATGGATCCACACAAAGACCTAAAGGAAGCAAAGGGGCTTCTTTTCCACCCCAATTCTCTTTGATAAAAATCTTTAACATTCTTACGCTGTTCCAATGACAATGGAGTCCAGCCAGTTCCATGGATCTCGAAGGAAGGAAAACTCATCCAGAACAAAACCTCTTGCCAATATTTTTATAAAAGCTTCAAAAATATAAATCCCAGTGAAGACATACCTATGAGGTAAATCATTCAAAAACAAGAAGGAACATGATAAGTGATGTGAAAAGCAAAGAACCCTTCCGTCTTATGTGGCCTTGATATTTTATTCTATTTCAATGTGACATTTAACATTCTGATCTTCAGCAAACCAGAGTTCAGAAAGGGAAGCTCCTCAAGCAAGTTCTGGTATTTAGGATTTCCAAGAAATAGGCTCATGGATAAAGTTGTAAAGCTGTCTAGCTTTATAGCCATATTCCTGAGAGTAGTTTCAGCCAACATGGGGCCGTATGTTTGGTGGTTGTAACTTGTCATCATTCTAGAGCTGTCAGTCTAATATACAGAAGGGGCAATGGTGAGGGATCACTGAAGAGAGTAGATGACAAGGCAGCATACTGGGTTTTGCCATGCTCTATGTTCATGGATTGAAAAATTTAACATTGTTAATATGTCATACTAGTCAGAATGATCTACAGATTCACTGCAATCCCTATCAAAATCCCAATGGCATTTTTTCCAAAAATATAAAAATCCATCCTAAAATTCATATTGAATTTCAAGGGACCCCAAATAGCCAAAACAATTTTGAAAAAAAACAAAGTTGGAAGTCTCACACTTCCTGATATCAAAACTTATTACAAAGCTACAGTAATCAAAACAGTGTTGTACTGACATAATGACAGACATATAGGACCAATGAATAGAATAGAGAACCCCAAATAAACCTTCACATATCTCAGCTAATGAGTTTCAGCATGGGTGTCAATACTATTCAATGGAAAAAAGACAATCTTTTCAACAAGTGGTGTTGAGAAAACTGTATATGCACATGCAAAAGAATGAAGTTAGAAACTTACCTCATACCATATATAAAAATTAACTCAATATGAATTAAAGACCTAAATGTAAGACCTGAAAAAATAAAACTCATAGAAGAAAATATTTGCAAACCATGTATCTGACAAAGGGTTAATATTCAAAATACATAAAGAACTCCTACAACTCAACAACAAAAAATCAAATAACCCAATTAAAAAATGGCCAAAGAACTTGAATAGACATTTATCCAAAGATGATATATAAATGGCAACAAGCATATGAAAAGATGCTTAACATCACTAATCATCAGAGAAAAGCAAGTCAAAACCACAGTGAAATATCACCTCACACCCATGAAGATGGCTACTATTAAAACAACAACAACAACAACAAAAACAGAAAATTAAAAGTGTAGATGAGGATATGGAGAAATTGGAACACATGTCCTGTTAATAGGATTGTAAAATGGTATAATCCCTACAGAAAACAGTATGAAGTTTCCTCAAAAAGTTAATAATAGACCT